AATGATGGCATTTTCGATTTTCACTTCATTACAGCGGGTTCTATCGAGCGCTGACGAAGACATCAGCCAACTTTCGTGCGTTCTTTTTATTATCGCCGTTTTAAAACTTTATTTTCGTAGAGGTCCTCATCTTAAAGCATTTATCGTGAAGCTTCCCCGTGATCTCGTTCATAAGCTTCAAAACTGCACCACACTTCTCTTAAAAAAAACGTTGGCCTTCTTAAGAACGTCATCATTTCTACACGCAGATTTCCTTCAACAGCACACATCTTTGAAGGAAACTTGTCACCATTGCCGAGGTCACTTTAAGCCCGTCCTATTGGACCTCAAACATTTCAGAGAAAATCTGAAAGGTTTCAACCAATATGTAACGGGAATTCTTTAATCCGGTTCTGATTAAATAAAAATTGAAATGATTTGGGAGGCATGAATGAGAGTTTCCAACGTCTGAAGATGTAGATATTGCTCGCGGATGCTTTCGCTCGGCATATTCTCTGCGCTTCGAATAAGGGGCAAGGGTCTCGCCACACTCGTCAACAATCAACGATCGAATGAAATGGATTGCCTGATGAAGCACTGTCTAATGGATCTAACAATACAATCCAGTGCAACGCAGAAGTATCTCCTCCTTAATTTGGCGTCTTAAAACATTGAGTACCGATCTTTTCTCAGTTTATCCGCCACTTACACCTAACCCTCTGATACCTTGGCCTATAGCTCGAAGCCTACAAGGCTGACTTTTTCAGCCATAGGCGAGGCAAAGGACTCAAAAACGGAGATCTCCGTGGGCGATACGCAGTGTTAACGCATCCGCATCAAATGACGGACTCTCTTTCGCTTAGCCTATGACCTGGAGAGCCATAGGCTTATAGGCTTCTCGAGTCTGGCGAAAATGGCAGAGTTCTAGGTCGAATGGGGTAAATGCGTTTTCTTCGTGCGAGCGTGACCAAATATAAACTCGATCAATGAGACGTACTTGATCACCGGTGTAAAGCTCTTAATCACTTTTGCTGCCATACGACCAGCCAACGGGTGGTTTGCATTGCTTTGCGGGATACGATCTATGGACCTCTTCCTTTCAGCTTACGAATTTTATCGTCGCCTTCTGATGGGGTCAATTTAAAATCAAATTTGCGGTTTTTCACTTCTCATTTCCCTTTTACAATGTTTTCAATATAAGCATATCTCCGTATAAGGATAAAGTGGAAATTACTTTTTCTTAATTTCTGCGCATAGGGCATATTACGGGAGTCTTTATATATAGTACAGTATGTACGTGGACATATCAAAAAGGTCAAGAACCGGTTTTCATTTGAGCAAACTATGTGCAGATGCTCTGTTTCAGAATGATCCCTTTTGGAATGCATGGATAACAAGAAAAGAATGCAACTTGAAAGTTTTCTATAGAATCCATACCTTGTAATTCATTGGTCTGAAAATTTAATGGAACGTTGGCTACAATGTTTTCCTAGAGCTCTTGAAATTATATGAATTTATGGATACCCATTCATGAGTTTCACATTAGCACATTTTTTGAGATGGCAAAGAAAGGGCATGCGACTGCCATTGCAAGGCATGAATCCAAATTGCATGAGGATCCCTGAAAATGCATGCAGATGCATGAACTTTTTATGGATGAGTACACATTTTTTACAAAGTTCTATTAATTTTTTCGCGAGGATCATCCCAGATCCATTGGGCAAAAATTAAATGCAGATTCGTACCTCCCATTGGTAGTCACATCCCTGCTCACTCAGAAAATTTGACCAATTCAATTAAATCTGTCATGACTCAAGAGTAGATGGGCAAGGGTGCACATACTGTACTTCAACAGCTCTTGAAGAACCTCGTCAACAAGGTATCCTTACATTATCACGTCAATTCACTGAAGAATTTATCTGTATAAAAAAAATGTTCAAGTTGCTTAATTTGTTCCAGTCAACCCTCCAGTTCAACCTGACTTGCAACACACATTTCCTTTTGTTTGTAAAGAGCTTAGAACAGACTGTAACCCATTCTTGGCAAATTTATCCAACGCGTTTGTCACAAGTTGATTGGCAAGCACCTATGTCGTTGAAGCGGCGGCCATTCATCAAAGGCACCTCATTTTTGGAATCAGCCTGAAGTCGTAAGGTTCGTGGTCCAAGGAATACAAAGAATGTGGGAGCAATAGCACTCCAAGATTGGTTAGAAATTAAATATGGTACGACATAGGTACCGTTTGATTGCCGACGGTCATTGTGGACAAGCTCAGTTTCGTCATTACGGCTTGTCGATTGCCGTCCATGCATTCATCATCTCAAGTGAATCCCCACCTTTCACGGAATCGCTTGTGTCATGCACACCAGAATTAGGAGGATTACTTTGGCCTCAGGGGAACGGCCTCCAAATAATGGCTTGGCAGCGAAAGTGTTAAGGGGTGTTTTGTTCCAGGCATCAGAAAAACCTCTCTATGTCACTGATAAATACAGTCCTAACCAGCTGAAATATTAACTTGATTTCAACAAACTAGACTTGCCCAGAACCAGCAACAGAACAAAAATATGATAATGCATATATATTTCAAAAGGGGTCTTCTGCTGAACTTAAATGCAATCATTCAAATATGAACAGCTTAATATAGGATAAGCTACATGCATATACACTAAGGTGCAAAAGTCCTTGCCCCTCACAGCCAACTTTCTGGAAGCATATTTCCGGAAATTTCTGGAAAGATTTTTTCTAGATCTTTCTAGAAGGTGAGGAAAGGTGAAAACTAGGTGAAGGTGAATTATAGCTGTAAAAACTGCAAATTTTAATTAAAATTCTAGAGTAGGGAGAAAATGCCTCAACAACAAAATTCTACTTCACTGAAAACAAAGCAATCAACTATTTTACACTTCCAGAAGAACAACCATCAATCTCCTGCCACAATTGCTCACTTGACAAAGATCCCTGTTCAGACTGTCAATTACAATATTGCTAAGATCAAAGAACAAGGCACGATGGAGAACAGACACCGTAGTGGCTGATCCTGCAAGATCACTGCTGACAGCAAGGTACTCGGCCAGTGGATTCGATGAAACCAAGAGACAACAGCGAAATAACTGGTGCAAAAGTTGCTTCAGGACCGAGGTTGGCATGTGTCCCAATGAAAGGTACAATGCCAGCTCAAACAGATGGGCTACAAGAGTACTTTGCCCCATGTGATGCCAATATTGACATAGAAGCACAAAGATGCACACATCCAGAGGGCAATTCAACACAAGAATGATGATTGAAGCTGAAGGGTATTCACCAACAAAACCTCCTACCGACTATTCAGAAACAGGTAGAAGATTTAGGTCAAAGAATCCAAGAGGTGAGGTTGAGCAAATCTCAAAGAACAGACAGAAGATTATGGTGTGGGGCGGCTTCAGTGTCATGGGCCTGGTCAGCAGTCATTTTTCAAGAGAATTATGGATGGCCCTTACTACATTCAAATCCATCAAGATCACCTCTTCCATAGTGCCAGAAGACAGTTCAGTCAATGCTTGTGACTGCAACAAGACAAGGATCCCAAACACGGAAGTCAAGTGACGATGCAGTTCCTACTTGAGGAAGTACTCAAAGCAATCAACTGGCCGTCGAACAGTCCTGATGTTGATCCAATCAAGAGCCTCTGGTCAATCCTCAAACAGTGTGTTGAGAAGCAGAAACCATCAAATCTCGATGAACTGGACAGATTTCTGCACAACGAATGAGACAGAATCAACTTGGCCACTAATTCATTAGGTCAAGTCGATGAAAGCATGATGTTTGTCTTTAATTGACTTGAAGGGAGAGAGGATCAACTATTAATTGTGCTACTTTTCTACCTTGGTTTTTGGTTTAAATTGGTTTTTAATATTCATCCCATCCACCCTGAGAATACCTGAAATACTGGGGGCAGAGACTTTTGCACCTTGGTGAATGAATTGGTAGGAATATTTCCATGATGGCACATTCAAGATGTGAAATGTGGTTTAATGAAAATTTGTATAAAAATTGGTTATTCAGAACAGATGTAACAGGTTTTTTCCACACACAGTCAAATGTACAGTGTGCCTGTCTGCATCTGCCTACTCAGCTGACTTGGGTAAGTCCTAATCATGAATGGAGGAAGCAGCCAGGTTTTATATATTGACATTTCTTATTTGAGATTGTGCAAACAAAAATGATGTTACTTTGTAAATGAGCTTTATTAAAATTTTCATAAACCACATACACGATGGATCATGAAAATTTATTGCTGATTTATTGCATGATGAGTCATGTCTGCAGTCAAGTATGCTAATTTTACATATTTTTTTGGTATTCATGTATCAGCACCATATATTTGAAAAGAAATTAGATTTTTGAGTTGATAAAAACACACCCCTTAAAAAATGCATGCTGTATAAACTTAATTTTTGAGGTAAATGCCCTCTGTCTAGGGGAAATCCTGTTCTCCTTCAAAATGTAATTCCCCTTCACATAGTGACCTGAGTTTTATTCTCTAAATTTACTTGAACCAATTGAATCACCTGGGTCTATCATTCTGTAAAAATGCAGCAGGCTTCCTTTTTGACCAAAAGTGAAGATAGGAAAAAGGAAGAGACCCAGATTCTCTTTTTTTTTCTTGGGCAAGGAACTTGACCACCAATCAAGGGCATTACACTCAATCTCAGGAAAGAGACTAAACAAAAATATATGCTCCAAAGAGTAATTACACACCTTGCCTGTTCTATAAAGTGACAACAGCTGTTATTGACCAATTCCACAATAATCACAAGCTTTAGGTGAAAGACATTTGCAAAATGCTGGATGTGAATGAGACCACAGGATGGTATGCTGGGGGAAAAAATTATGAGAGCAAGCAATTTCAAGTCCCAGACTTAAAAATGACTCCTGTGAGTGAAAACTATATAAAGCACCCAAGACCAATGAAATCCCTTAAGAGGGGAAGAAAGTCCAACAATGATAATATTGTGAATATTCTTGTGCAAATGCTTGTAAAACTCACTCACAATGCAACCAAGAGCACACCGGATGAAGGTGAGGACATTGCCAGCAAGAGGAGCAGAACCAACAACAATCAGCCGCACACAACCTCCGGTACCTTCCCGCACCTTACTAAACACCAGCTTATCCCAAATGCTGTTGTAGCGAATTACTCCCCTATAAAAAAAAGCACAATAAATAGACCTAAGGTTAAGCAATAAGAGACTGGAGAAGGATGAATTCTGAACAAGTACAGACACACAGAGTACCTTCTGAGTTCCTTCTCCTTGGAGCGGAGGGCAAGTTTAATGAGATTCCTCTTAAAGAAATTCCTATTGGTTTTGCTCCAGACAGTGTCATGAATGCGATTCAGGATTCGGGGGACGGCAGGCATGAGTGTGGGCTTGAGGGCTTTCATGTCATCTGCCAGACCCCTCACATTCCCAAGCCAGAAACCCACGCATCCACCTGTCATGTAGATGGCCACTTGGCAGCATCTCTCCAGCATGTGAGCAAGTGGGAGGAAGGAGATCATGACGTCCTGGGGATTTGGCTTCAAGTTCCCCAACTGATGAAGGACGGCACTCACACATGCTATCACATTCCCATGACTCAAGATCACACCTTTTGGCTTCCCTGTTGTCCCAGAGGTGAAGCAGATTGTGCACACATCTTCTGCTTTTGGGGGCTGCCAACAAACACATTTATATACTGAAACTGTCATGGAATATCTCAGAAAAAAGAGCATGAGGATGGGAGACTCACAACAGGGGGCTGGTTCTTGGCAGCACCAATTCGTTCCACCTCCTCAAAGGGAATGATGGCAATGCCAAGCTTCTGGCCACGGAGTTTGGTGGCTTCAGGAATCTCTTTCATGAGGATGATTCTCTTTAGTGGGGGAGGTCTCTTGTCCAAGAGGAAGTTGACCTTTGCATCTGAATCACATACTACTGTGCTCAGCTGAGCTGCAAATCACATGACAATTGATGAAATGCAGAGCATTAGAATATATCTCAGGATGATCAATGGTGACCATAGACAAACCATGTTCAAGGATGTAAGAGCAGGCCTCTGGTCCATATGTGTCATAGAGTGGCACAACCACCATGCTGTAGTGATAGAGACTTTGTTCAGCCAAAACCCATTCTACGCAATTCTGAGCAAAGATTCCAACACGTGTTTCTGTCCCAGGGCTCAGACCTAGGCTAACAAGTCCTGATCCAAAGTTGTGGGCTCTCAGCAAAGCCTCATTGTAATTGAGCCATTGGTATGGAAGGCCAGGACCATCTCTCCATCCCAGGCATCGTCCATCATCTGAAATAGCACAAAGACTCACTTCATCATATATTCATAAGAATCAACACAATGATGAAGATCAAGAAACAATGCATGAACAGACTGGATTCCTTGGCTCCTCGTCGAAATGCCTCATAGACAGTCTTCCCATCTTCATAGAGATACTTCATGAATTTCCCATCTTTGGCATCCTTGTACACTCTTGAGCAGCGGATCATCTCTGGTCCCTAAATGCAAAACAGAAAATTCAAAATAGTATTGTGTGCTTTCAGGTGAAACTCCTCTTAAAATGAGTTGGTCATTGTTTCTCTAAGCAAAATCTAACATTGTAGTCAATAGAATCATCTCAGTTGTAATGCCATCCTTTGTCATGTCATGGCAGCATATTTGCAACCACCTCTACAACATGAAATCCATTTTAGAAGGAGAAGGATTTGATTTTTCAGAACAGTGGTATGGCAGCATGGTATCCACATTAGTATAAACAAGCAGTGGCGTAGCCAAGGGAGACTTGGCCCCCCCCACCAGCCTCTCTTGTTCTCCCCAAAATATGGATGAGGCCTAAAATCCTAGACAGAAAAGTCTGGGTATTTGAACTCCTAGCAAAATTATGTACTTTCCTTCTTCGGTATTGGCCAAAAAGTGTGATAACCATTTAGGACATTACAGGTCAGTTGGGGCTTATGGAACATTTTTTGTGGCAGCAGACTGTAACTACTGATATTTTATATTCAGCTAAAATCCAAAAGCTTATATTTTAGCTGGCAGTTTGTGGTTTTTAGGGGCGAAACAGGGCTCCCCTATAACCCTTTTTCCCCATCCCCTCCAAATGAGACACTGGCTACGCCACTGTTGGCATAATTTGAACACTGGTGGACAGTGGCGTAGGCAGAAAATCGGCAAGGGGGGGTTGAGGCCAGGTAGACACCCCAACCCTACGCTTAGCTCCACCACCCGGAATTTACCTTTTTGAAGAAATCGTGGTCTGGCATCTTGGGTCTGTGGATGGACATTGGACTTTCCTCGAAGGGGGATAGCTAAAACTGATTAGCTCCACCACCCGGAATTTACCCTTTTGAAGAAATCGTGGTCTGGCATCTTGGGTCTGTGGATGGACATTGGACTTTCCTCGAAGGGGGATAGCTAAAACTGGTATTCCCAAGGAAGGTTGAAATATGCCTGTCTGTCACTGACCAGGAAGCCCAAGGGGGGGGGGTTCTGACCCCCTAAACCCCCCCCTTCCCTACGCCACTGCTGGTGGATATTCCGCCAGTGCCACGAGGAAAGGCTCACTTTGATGATCTCCGATTGGTAATGCAGGTCTACGGGGGTGACAAAGGGGGCAGGACCAAAAAAAATGTCCAGTAGAGACCACGGCATTTTCCCAGTATCTCTGAAATATCACACATCGACACACAAACAAGACATGGAGGAGAAGAAGAAAGTATGGCATGGACGGCTGGATGATCCAAGGGCGTAATGAAGAGGAGGGGGATGGAAAAAAAAGGAGCAGGGAAGGAGAGAGGGAGGAACCCAGAAATAGAAGCTGTAGCACGATGGAAGGAGTCCAAACCGCCGCCTACTCACATTCACTTCCCATCAAAAATCCCTCTACCTCTACAAAGTATTCACACTAGCGTTGCAGAACTCTCGAAGCTGTAAACCTTCTATAAATAAATATTAAAAAAAAAGAAAACTGATATTATTATAATAAATAAAACGCCCATATCCAACTCAAGTTGATAAATCACATTTTGGCTGAAGGGGGGGAATGTCAAGGAATCGGTGACATTCCTCTCTTCGTGGGAACAAGAATTGATCAGGAATGGAAAATACCGGAGAAAAATACTGGAAAGCCAATTTTAGACGTGCGCAAGAGGAAGAGCATCTATCATCGGGAATCCGGATGACGACGGAAAACAGGAAGAAAAAAAAAAGAGTAGAAACAAGGTCGACCCATTTTAGCCCTCCATCACGCGCCCACGTAGTAACTCTGAGTCATCGCCCATCACGTTCTTACTGGCTTTCTTAACAACAACAACAAATTATAATCCCATTTCAAGTATCTAATTCTAGACGTCAGTTACCTTTCTCTTTTAACTACTCATCTTTGTTTTTAAAAAAAAATATGGGGGAAATGTGACGACTGCAGAGGAATTTAGTATCCTGCCATATATTGAGAGAAAGACTTAAAGAAAGATGTACGAGGGGATCGACTGAGTGAAGAGATGTGTGAATTAGTGGGGCGAGGGGAGGGATAGGACAAGGACTGGTTCTCAATCCAACATAACCCCTCATCCTCATTCGCACGGAGAGCCAAAACTTTCCGATGGTAAGTAGGAACATTTATTTTTACATATTCTAATTCCGTGATAGTACGAGAGTCGTTTGACAATGAGTGAGACTCTCAATTACGCGCTAATGTGCGGCAAGGTTCAACCTTTAATAAAGCAGCCTTACATATCAGAAGGCTGCGGGTCAAGTTTGAGCTCGGTAGCTTGCTCCTATCAGATGTAGTATTCGAATTGAAAGGAGTTCTACTGTTGCACGACAATGCGCCACCACACAAAGCCTACATTACGCAGCAAGCTTTGGGTGAATGCAAGTTCGAAGAACTCCCTCATCAACCATATTCGCCGGACCTGGCCCCTAGTGACTTCCACGTGTTTCGATGCTTGAAATCAGATCTCAAAGGAAAAAGATTTTCGACTGATGATGAAGTGCAAGAGGCTGCGATGAGATAGTTGGACAGCATGCCTATAGAATTCTGGACCGCTGGTGTAAACAAGTGTAAAGAAAGATGGTTGAAGTGTAGTAGCATTAATGGTGATTACGTTGAAAAATAAATGGTAGTTAATGGCTCAAAGTGCTTCCTTATTGAGATTCTCACTCATTGTCAAACTACCCTTGTAGTTCCCCGATTATCCATCACCCATCAGGCGGTAGTCGGGTTGTAATCACCCATCAAAAGCGATAAGGAGTAGATCCCCGATTGCCTGTTTCCAAGACATCGTCGTCCAACCTGATGTACGATTTCTCTGAAAAAGATCGGTGTCGTTTAAAAAAAAAAGTTAAAACGTGGGTAGCAAATGAGTAGCCAAAGCAGGTCCAATAAACCGCCCGAAATGCTGGTTAGGTCATTTGTTCTCTAGGAAAACAGGTTTTCTTCCTGAAAGAGTATGGGGGGGGGAAAAAACTTTCTTGTGTTGGGCTGTCGACCAATACACAGTTCCGAACTTTCACTGAAAGAAGGCCCACTCTTAGAAAGGGTTTGTCCAACTGTTTTTTTAAACTTCACGAAGGTAAGCAGGATTCAACTGAGACGTTAGCGTGATACATGTTTTCACGGTACCGGGTACAGTGAAAACATGGGCTGCAAATTAGGTATAATTTCTGCGTGACCGTGAAGAGTTTCACAAAAATATTCCTTCATTCAAGAAGTAAGTATTGGGACGAGGATACACATACGAGCATTGTTGCCTTCTAGAGACGAAACTGAGCAGGGTGAAGTGTCTTGTTTCAAACACAAATGCTAATTTCAATACAAATTGTTTCAATTAAAATGGCTAATATTACTGATGACAACGAGGCACAGAGATTAGTGCATTGCTGTATTCTCCAAGAAAAATATCGTGAAGCACTTGCTTCGTTAAGGTAGTAAGATCCCTTTAGAGTTAATTTTGACCCAAATGAAGATCGGAGTGAGAACAATACATCATTGGAAAGTGCAGGGAACGTCTTCCGTTTCGATAATATAATTAGTATAAATTATGCTAATTAGGTACCAATATGGCCGACTCAACATCCAAATCCCAGCCATCTTTGTGCCAGCATTTCTCACGTATTAGTGATTCTAAACTCACGAAACTCACGCAATACATTGATCAAATATGTATTCAAGTTCTGATGGTTTCAGATTTTCGAAGAACATTTATGCAAAGAATTTTCAGCTGATTGAGCAAATTTTTCAACATTTTCCTCCTAAGTATATACGCAAAACAGCGAAAAATCAGTGTATTTGGGAAATAGTTAAAAAACGCCACAATTCCCTGAGGAGGCATTTTAGGTATCTTAGGCAAAAAAATTACTCATGAAGGTACAAAATTAACGAAGTTATGGCGTCTCAAAGATTACTCTTCATGATGAAAGGACTGAGAAAACCCGAAGGAAAGTAAGTCTCATTCTACTCTTAAATTTCGATGTCTAATGAGCACCTGCCTCGTACAAATTACCATCAGAATACTCACATTTGTCACGAAAACCTTTTTCCATCGCTCGCAACACTTTTCGGCGTTTTTTTTTTTTACCAGCTCCGACGACAATGTTGCCGTCATTGACGTGACTGACAGTCGAGTAGATCGTTTTGTGGCCCACAAATACCTCTTTATTACACATCTCCTAAATAAACGTATTCAAACATTCATTTGTGTTCTGTGATTTGCCAAGCAGGCATTTCGCGAGTTGCACAGGTGATGTGAGTCGTAAATAGGGTCTATCAGCGCTACAACATTTTCGACGTAATTTTTGTGAAAATATTCGATAGAGATGGACATATCCAGATGGATGTATCCAAGGGCCAAAATCTTGGCTAGGGAGACGTTTTTCTTGATGATAATCACTAATTAACCTTTTTTAATATAGAACTTTTTCTAATTTTTCGATCGCACATCGATAGAGCAATGAAAATATTATAGCCTAAACCAATTTTTGAAAAAACTACATTTTTCATGAAAATCGACTTTTAAATGAGGGTGTGCTAGCTCAACAACACTCGAATCGCTTCCTCGCAACAACTACTGGACGAGCGAGAAACTTACGTTTCATTCATGTCAGGATTATTAGTAAGAATTGCATTTTCTTGTTCTGAAATGTTTTTCCTGCTCTGATCCCATGTCTCAAAAATTGGCGAGATGAAAACATCTCTCCTCATTAACCACCGTAGCTCTCCAACCTTGACACGTTCCCTGCGGTAGTAAAACTGAATACGACTAATTACGTGTAGACCGGTGGGTCGCTCTGCAGGGAACGTTAAGCTAGGGGTGCACAACTCAAAAGACTGTGAGGGCCAAAAACGATTTTTATTCACCTACTGCGGGCCGGTTAAATAGGAGCATGAAGCACGAAAGGTGTGCTTAGGTCAGTCGCAGGGTGAGGAACCGTTTCATGTTTACAGTTGACATTGTATCGAAATAATGCAAAAGGAGAGTGGACATTGAAACCTTCGATCAAATATTTCAGTGACAGAAGAGGCACATCCGGCACGAGGAGAAAAGTAATGGTCTGACGACTTTCTCCCTTAGCGAGTTTCACAACTTCTAAACAAAATCACAACTTGCACACCTAGCGAAGATAATAATATTATGTATGATATATCTTGTGTCTTTTTCATCCATGGCAACTGCGTAGATATAAATTGACAATGCGAATTTTGATAACCGAAAAGCTCTCAACTTGAGGCAAAGAAGCTGAAGACATGCTTAACAGGCACCCGCTCATGCGCAAGGCAGACCCTTGCCCCCCCCCCCCTCCCCCTGACGAGCCGCCACTGTCCAGAAGGCACTAGTTTAACCCTTTCAGACCTGAATTAAGGCCACTATGAGAATAATATACTTTTTTGCATTTTTGAGCTTTTTTTTTTACTATTGTACTTTAAATTTGTATGTACAATATATCGTTTTTATACTTTGTATAAGTTTACCATATCACACCATATATTATATTATACATGTAGTATAATATAATTATACTAACTGTATACTAACTGAAGATTACAAAACCGATGGATGAAAGAAGGCCTCCGATGGAATTGAGCCATGCATAATTGCGCCCATTGTAGTGTAATATGGGGCGCAAAGTCACGAGAATCCCAAGAAATTACCATAGACACTATGAAAATGCAATGTCCATTGGAATGGATGACAGGTCTGAAGGGGTTAAAATACATTTTAATTAACTTTGCCATACCAAAAATGAATTCCTAATCAGCATCACAGACACATCAGAGAAAGTTGAAAGAAGTGTGCCAAATCAAGTGCTAGAGTTGAAGGCACTCAAATAACCTGTAAAACATCTCTAAATTGAACCAGTGAAATTTAGCCAAAAACACAAGGCAGAATAGGAACAAAAATACCTCTTAATGCATACTTTGTGGAAATCATATTGCACTTATGAGCATTAAAATGGTACTGATCACATTTAACCCAAATGGCAATGGTCAAACAAAAATGTAATAAAAACTTGCTGTTTCACAAGGTGCTTTTGGCAGGTTCTCCATTGGATTCATGAGTCACATGGATCCCCCCCATTGAGAGAATTTACAAGATATATTATACAAATGAGGGAGATCTTCAGGTCATCAAGTCCCTCCCCCCTACTGAGCATACAACAAGGATAGGAATCAGAAAGATAGGTTGTGAGGAATCAGGATATCGTTGAATATTGCATTCATCACTACGAAACACCCACATGGTACCGGTGCTTAGAGAAAAAAAAGAGCTGCTTCCAACTATGTATTCCCAGAATTCTGAACCATTTCTTCTGATCATATTTGACAGCTCACTCCCTCAATTGACTGGAAGTCAAGTTCTTCTCATGTATTAGTTCTTCTCATTTCCAGATACATTTTATAGTCAATTGAACAGTCGAACTAAAAAAAAAAAAACTGCAAGGACACAGAGTTCTGATAGACTTAGACCTACAGTTATTGTGCCCAATTTAAAAGGGCTCCCACAAATACCTAGGCATAAACTTTCTTGGTCAATTTAGAGCTGTCTGGGAGTAATTTCATGGACTGAAATCCATGTACATATATGATGCACATGGATTGCATGATGGAAGTGTGCATATATGATGCACACCTCCACCTCCCAAGCACAGCCATTCACTGCTTTTGTGAATGACTCTTGACGTAGTTCACTGATGCTCTGACACTCAATAAAACTGAAATAACTTTCTCCTTTTTTTTAACCGCATTTCCAAGACCTTCCCAGATCATTAGAGACCCTGTTTAATTTGTCAATCTACTCTTACAGTATTCTCAAATGGGCATGTTGTTGTGCTATGAGGACTTCTTCAAGCTCACCTCCATTTGCTCTGACTGCAAATTGAGATCTGATGGAATGTGAATTTTCTCCTCTTGTCCAGCACAATAAAAATATAGTCCACCCAGTGTGATAGCAGCACCAGTGGCCAACACAAGCCCAGGATTGTTTCCAAGAATGTCCATCATCCTCCAATATTTGGCCTGGCTAGAACTGCTTCTGACCAGAGAATAAAATCCCTGCTTAGGAATAGAAAGACCTTCAATTAGAATTCCTTTATATTGTGAAACAATTACTGTCAAACATTAGGCATAGAAATAACAACCAAGTTTATTAGCCCTAGGCCAGGCAAGACTTACTTACAAGAGAAGGATGGGTCTATATCAAATTGAAGCTCACAGGTTTCCAGGACATCCTAATTTAGTAGGTAGTAAGGAGGTACAAGAATTGCCTGGGTAGCAAAAAGGGGAAGAATTTAATAAACTTGTCAGATGAAAATGACCAATGAGGATTGGTAATAAAAAATTAATGGTTCCAGAGCATGAATTTCACTCCAGTACTTTAAAAACTATAAATGATCTAGTGCAGGTATGTATACCATCCTAAGATTTTGGCAGCTGAAGAGGAAACGATGCGGAAAGAACTACAATGATAGGAACACTTGTCTCATTTTTCATTCAGCCCAGACATCCATTTAAAGGTCCAAATATACTCCTGCATATTTGCAATCCTGACGTAGAACCAAAACCCCTGCTAAAAGGTGCCCATGTTCCCCTTTACCTCCAAATGCAAGTCAAACACACCCTGTTATAAGGTTAAAGTGGTTATTTTTCTTTCCCAACCTATTTTCAAAATAAAGCATATGGAAAAATATTAGGTAATAGTGAAAATTTTTATTTTTTGACAGCAACCTAATCTGAAAAGCTTAAGGCCTGAATGCACAAACCTCATTTAGGGGAGATAAAGGGGCCTTTAAGCTAAACAGTTCTTTTTCTTCCATAGGAATCCATGTATTCTTTAAGGACCATTAACTAAATGAGGTTTGTGTATTTGGGCCTAAATCTTTGGAAGTGTTAAGGTTTTGTATGCAAACAGGGAAGTCCAAAGAGAGTATGCTGACTCATGATAATTTGTGCAGTCTGAAATGTAACTTCCTCTGTCCAGGAAATTCAAATGTATTTTTTCAACATGAACATGAATCTGTGGAATCATGTACTGAATGGAGGTGGCAATAGATTAAACATGTAGTACCTAGTGCCTACTATAAGTAATGAGCCAATAGCTGCATTGCCAAAACAAAGCTCCGTCCACCACTGTTCATATAAGTCCACCATTCATGTGCTACTTGGATCTATACCTAACTTCCTGATTGAACATAAATAAATACTCCTGGGTGACTCAGGTTCTTCCTAGTTCATGGAATTAATGTTAGCTGGGAACCATTCAGATTCCTAAAAAAACCAGTGAGGTGATATAACACCCTAAAGGTAAATTTCTCCTTTTTTTCAATTTTAATGAGTGCTGAAGGATCACTAAATTCATGCAGAAACCCACCCAGAATGACTGAAATGGATTTATGATTAAATCCTGTTTAGCTAGCCCTTTCATTACATTAAGATTTGTATGTTCATATGTTGAGCCCCAGACCCCAGTTCCATATTTATCAATGTATGATGTAATAATATTGACCAAGTTATTAAAAATATGTTTCATATACTAGGGCCAGGAAACTAAAAACAAAACTCATGTCAAAATGGAACAAATGACATATCTTTGTGACATTGTATATTAATCTTAGGTACACTAGTGTAGCACTGAAAATGTAATTGGCATCACTGCTTGTGAGAGTATGCATGCAATGTAGCCTGGTACAGATGCCTACCTCCATTAACCTCCCAAGCATGTACGTTGGCATATGCCATGCAGTATCTCTATAGGCAATATTGGACTATTATGGGCAGGTTGTTCAAACAGTGATGCAAGTGGACATAATTTTGCTGTAATATTGCATTTTTTTCTGTTTATTCGAACAAATAGTAACCTCCAATGTATATTGTGGCTACAATGAGCAATTCATTGAAACTTTGAGCATGAAATTGTAGAGGCCTGGTTTCAGTAGGATAATGCAATTGCACACACTGTAACTATTTCAATGAATCATTTAGAATCATTTTTTGAGACCAATTAATCAGTAGGTTTCTATTTCCTCCTAAAACAATGTAATTGCAAAAAAAAAAACATTTTTCATCTTCTCTTGCATCACTTTATGAACACCCTGTACTAACAGTTATTGCTTTGGAGAAGTAGGACCCTAAGGGATGAGTGATTTTTCATTCATAGTGTTTCTGCATGTCTTGTTAGTGTTGTGAAATTGTTTCAGAATTTTATTTCCAGTACTTTTTTAATTATAATTTTTTTTAAAGTGTACTCACAAATGAGAAAGAGGATAAGGAAAATAAGTCATGCTGTAAATGCTGCCGGATGTTGAGAGAAAGTCACGCTTGAAGGGTTAAAGGGCTGTCCAAGGAACATCAGAGGGTTGTGATAGTTTTTGTGTGCAGACAGTGAAAAACCACTTCACAGAATGGTTGCCATTAACGGTGAGATGTTTTTCCAAGAGATGAGTATATGAAAAGCACAAAATGTTTCCTGGCAGATACTCATTGTGCTGGGAACAAACCCAGATCCAGATGAGTCAATGTCATCATCATGGATGATAATATCACGAAGGTCGGCAAGGTAATTAAGAGGAAACAGACATTTGTTTCTTAATGCATCTACAGTACTACCTGCTGAAGGGGACAGCTTTTTGACCAGAAATGTGGGATGTGATGAAACCTAGTGGCATCATTTAGATCAGGGGTGTTAAACATACGGCCCGCCACCTGTTCTTGAAATTTCCGCTTGGATTGACTGATAGCACAAATTTCAGTGAAAAAGTATGGGTGCGGCCCGCAGGCATCTGCAGGATAAGGAATGCGGCCCGCTGACTGATTTGAGTTTGACACCCCTGATTTAGATTATGAAACCCTATGAAGAGGGTGCTGAGGGACCTGCAATACCACTTATGAGGTAGAGGCAGTGGGAACATCGTGACACCAGACCCCAATTATGTTTTACAACAGTGCCATGAAAAATCAGGTGTTAGTGGTGGGACAAGCACCTCAATGCCCAGATAGTATTTTCAATACACAATAGGTCTTGGGTCAATACATTTTCAATAGTGCACAGCAAATAGAACTTAATTGCTGTTTTCATTTGTTTGGCCCTAGTATAGACCTTGCATGACAATATACAACTTCAAATATAGACAGGATAAGACAAAGCATATATGGGCAACATATGGTAGAGCTACATGACTAATTTCTGTATGACCATATAATAGCATATTCACTCCTATATGACCCTTTGTGGAGGATCCCAGGTACAGGATGATCAAAAAGTCACTGTGCAGTAGAATGAATTTACTTTGTGGCATTTATTTAGTGCTATATTGCAATGACACAAATTACATCAAAGACATAAATTCCTGCTCAATAATTCATCAAATATTAGCACCATCCCTGATTCACATAATTTATCATCAGTTTGTCTATACTTCTTGTCTACGAGACCTCCTGTCAAGTTATGAATTCTACTGCGCAGTGACTTTTTGATCACCCTGTATCTCCTATGGGAGTACACTTGCATATTTAAAGCTCTAGCAAAGGACATTCAATTTCCAGGAAATCCCAACATTCCAATCAGGTACATCATCCAGAGAGATAACATTGGAAAGTGACTGACACCCAACCTCTATCACTTGCAAGGATGTGTATTCCACCCCTAGATGTTTGCTTACTTTTCACCCAAAAAAGTGCAAAACATGCTTGCCATTAGTGAGCGGAAAAGAGGAAAGAGTGAAGAATTGGTATTCCTACATATGTGCATACTCCCTGCAAATGCTACCTAAGTTCTGTGCCCACTAGGCTAAGGTGCACAGAGAACAAGTATGAAGAAACAATCCTACCTCTGCATTCAGTTAGTTTCCGTGTACTTACACTCCCCTGCCCCCTTGCACATGTTTCTGTCCCTTGGAATCTCCATTGAAATACCATAGATGCATCTTTGCCTCAGCCAATCTCAGCAGACGCTGCAATTTTTGCCTTAGAAGGCAGAGTGATGAGAAATTTAGCCTGACAGGCAAAAGTTGGGAATACTTTTACAGGGGTGATCTAAATTTTGAAAGCTTGAAAGATGTGTGAATTGATCCACCAAAACTATGTCCTTGCCCATTTCTGAAGGGGTCAGGACCAGAAGGGATAGAAGAGTGAAGGCAGGCACTACAGTATTTTTCACTTCAGTAAAACACTTTTTCACTTGACTTCAACACTCATGCACAAGGAAAGTCCCATGCATGTGAGTCCGAGTCAAGTGAATAATTTTCTAATTCGTGTGAAAAACACTGTATTGCACCTAAAAATTGTCTGGAGTAGGTAAAAATGGATGGAAGGGATGAACTGCTTCCAGGTTGCCAATACCTGAGAGACAGAATGGCAGATAGAGAAGCATACAGAGACAGATTCATCGTTCAGAAGGGTCCTTTCAGAGCGACGTCCGACTTAGAACTGTGCGCGAAGCCTCGCACCTGAGCAGCGCTTGATAGGACATCTACCTTCCCGTCAACGTCACCTCAAATATATGTGTGGTCAGGGGGGAGAGGTGTTTTCGTCCCTCTTGCCTGACTGCTGGGGCCCTCGCTATCATAGGCTATACCTATGCCTCCACTTCCTGTAATAATGAATCTGTCGCATCCCAGGCTCCTGAATCAGATGACCAGCAGCGCATAAACACGGAGCTTTAACGTCGGGCATAACTTAACCCTAGCCCTAGGCCTATGAGGCACCGCTCGTCGTAGTCTTGCACGCAAGGTCAGGGCAAACTGTAGGCCAGGACCTATGTGCCCCTACACCGACAAGGACCGGCGGCCGGCTGTACAAGAAGGGTGCTTTCATCTTGATCGTACGAGAATCATCGACCGGTAAGCCGCCTGACCAAGTTGATTTGTGCGCAGCGCAGTGACGTCGTCATTCTCCATCTGCAATACGGTTCACAAATTATTTTCAATTGAAACAGCGAGATTTACTGGTTCAGTAAGCTTAAAAATATATCAGATTTTCGATGCGATAATCCTGAAATATCTCCTCACATCCTTTCATGAGGAATAGAACGGCAAATAGGAATTGAAGGTGGGAATGGTGAGAAATTCTGGCAT